AAGAACATTTCATATATTATCAATGTTATTTATATTTATAAATTTTTCTATCTTTTCATTAATGAGAGATACGAATTTCTAATTTATAAGAGATCCGAGATATATATTTTTTCTTTGGAATCTGATCTATCTATAAATTAATATCGATGATATGATCAGAAATTAATGAGAAGATGATCTGAATACGCAGAATGATATTTCTTTTCTTTATTTATTTTCTATTAGAAAATATATCTTCATAAATGATTATATTCTTAAATTTGGAATAATGAATGATTTTGATTCTCATATATATAATAAGAATTAAAATATATTTATTAGAGAATCTATAAGAAATTTGGATCTTTAAATAAAAGATTGATATCAAATATTCTTTATACATAGAGGTATGATCGATTCATTGAAATCTATATTGATCTGGGAGAAGAAAATATTCGGAGAGATCAAAAATAAGGGATTTCTAAGAAAGAATATATATTATAGATGAATATTCGAATATATAATTTCTCTATCAATCTAGATTTATTATATCATCAAAAGATCTTTCGCATATATATTATGAGCGATCAGATGATATCATTATATTATCTATATAGATGATATATTATTTCATATTGATAATCTTATAGGAAATCATTTCCGACATTTGATTTTTGATTTTTTAACATAGATGATAATAGAAGATCTCTTATCATATATGAATAAATCGAAATGCCTCTCATCTTTTCTATAACTGATCTGAAATTGAATATTAGAATTCCCTATAATATATCAAATTCTGTCTATGAAATAATATCGATAGAATTTTCTCTTTCTTCTCAAAATGATTCGTTCAATTCCTCCAAAATTGAATAAAACATATTTCTCAAAATGACGACGCGGCCATTTGCAATTATTTCGCTCGCGCGCGCGACTAATTTTTTCCGGCTCATCTTTAAGATATTTCCTGCTTGCTCCCTAGGGACTCTAAAATCCCAGAGATTTTAGAGCTCTTCCAAAAATCTAGAAACTCTAAAATCTCCGAGATTTTCGGAGCGGGCGACGCGACCAAAAATCTCGGAAATTTTTGGTCGCACGACTCTTGCCTCCAGAGAGATTTTCTACGTTATTTATCTCTCTTTGGCCATCTGCGTAGTTGCACGACGAATATATGGATCCGAGATGGAAAACCAATATTTTTTAGAATCTATAGATTGGTCGTATCTTTCTACGGGAATTTATACGTTCTCCCGATCCGCCGCGCAGATAACCAAGAAAGAAATAAATAAGAGGGAAAGATCGGATTAGATGGGAGGCGCGCGATCCGAAACCTCCCAAGATTTTGATCTATCTCTCTCTCTTCGATTGTCTACACGACGATTCGATATAGACCCGGGACGGAGATGCAAAATCTTTCAAAATCCATTAGATTGGTCGTTTTGGGCGACGGTCTTATATATTGATTATTCGTCGGGATTCATATATGATCTTAACTATTCTATATCTTTTATCTCTCTTTGATTGTCGGCGCGGATATTCGGAGGAACCCGTAGATCCGAGATGCAGAATCCAAATCTTTCAGAATTTATAGGCTGCCTATCACGGAGATTTATATTCTTTCGAATTGCCGCGCAACTAGCCCACGAGAGATAAATGAGAGGGAAAGGTCGGGCTGGATGCGGAGGCCGCGCGACCAGAAATCTCCCGAGATTTCGAGATATTTCTCTATCTTCGGTTGTCTGCGCGGCGACTCGATATAGATCCGAGATGGAGATATAAAATCTTTCAGAATCTATTAGCTTGGTCGTTTCGATTATATGCGATCTTATATGCTTCAATAATATGGCACGGGAATTTGCGGTCATGAAATGGGTCGTGCGTAGCCCAATTTTTCTGATTCATCTTTAAAATGATTCTTGCGGGCCTCCTAGGAGATCTAAAATCTCGGAGATTTTAGAATCTTTCGGAAAAGCTAGAGGCTCTAAAATCTCCGAGATTTTTGGCATGGGCGGCGCAATCTAAAATCTCGAAATTTTTTGGTTGCGCGGCCCTTGCGTCAGGAGCATTTTTCCACGTTATTTATTATCTACGCGGCAATTCGACGGAGCGCATAGACCCAGGATAGAGAATCAAAATCTTAGCGGAATTTATAGCTTGATCGTTTCTATCTATAGGATGTATATGTTCTCCCGAACCTTTATGCAGATAATTCAAGAGAGATAAATATTTGCCTGTCTGCGCGGCGGTTCGGCGGAACGTATAGATCCGGGGCGGAGATCCAAAATCTTTCAGAATCTATCATTTAATTCTATTATATGCGATCTTATTTATTGATCATTCATTAGATTTCACGTGCGATCTTATTTGATCCGCATGATATGATTCTTTGATTATCTATGCGATTGGCTATTCGGAGGAACGCATAGATCCGTGGAATTATGCGCGCCCGCGAGCCGCCGCGCAGATAGCCCATCAGAGATAAATTGGGCGGAAAGATTGGACTGGATACGGGATTGTGCGAATAGACAAAAATCTCTCTTTGATTATTTTCGCGATTATTCGGATTTCATATGCGATCTTATTATATATTCCGCGTGATTTATCGCGTTTTGGATATCTGCATATCTAATAGGCGGAATATATAATCCCGGCATAGAGAAGCATTCAGAAATTATAGATTGATTGCGTCTATCTACGAAGATTTATGCGTTCTGCCGATTCGTTGCGCAGATAATCTATTAGAGATAAATGAGGCGGAAAGATTAGGCTGGATATGGGGATTGTGCGGCCAAAGATCTCTTCGATTATCTGCGCGAATTCGAGAGAATATGTCGTATGCAGAGATTGAAGTTCTATCATATATCATCTTATATATTGATTATTCATCTGATTTTATATACGAGCTTATACGTTATTTGATCATCGAATTTCTCGTTATTGAGATTTTCAATTAAATATTTACCTTTGTTATAGGTAACGGACTAATCCTAATTATTTCATAAGATACGAAATTATTTTCTTTCTTTTTGAAAATGAATTATATCATCCTAATCGTGATCTCTAGAAAATTTATAAGATATGCCTATATTTTCAAAATTTCAATAAATTCTTATATGGTCAAAATCATAGGTCTACCTATAATAGAATGATATATATGATTGTTAAATCATATCAAAGAAATCTTTTGATATTCATCGATCTTTTCCTTCCTAGATATAGAAACGTATTATAAATAGAAAGATATTTTAATATCTCCTCTAGATTTTCCAAATCATATAGAAATTATTTTGAATATCCAAAATAATATTTTTATCTATGATCTTAAATCTCCTCTTCATTCAACTATTAGAAGAAGAATTTATGCCATCTTCGTCATCCATTCTAAATATTCGAATTTCCAAGATTCTAAAATCAAAATCGAAAAATCTATAATATTGAATAGATTCAATTCATATATTTTTATAATGAAAATCTATTCTTTAGAATAAATATTCTCCTAAAAATATTTTTATATATCCCGAAATATCAAAGAAATCATTATCATTCGTATTGAATATCTCAATAGAAAAATTCAATAGAGAAAAAATTGAAAATGGAAATAGATATCTCATAAATTTAGAAGATAATATGATTTCTATCGAATTTCAATCAGATTAGAGAAAATATTCATTTCTTTCCATCATTATCATTATTCCTTCCTCTTTTATTCAAATATATCAGGGATTGTAATAGCTCCTCCTAATATTTTATATTCTAAAATCAAAATCATTAATATCTCATGAATTATATTGATAATTTCATATTCTTCTATTTTCTATGATTTTTTTCTATAAAATATATTTCATGAAAAAATCATATATATATATATAGATTTAAAGATCAAAGAAAAGATATATATATAAATAATCATTCGAAATTATTATTCTATTCCAATAATCAGCTCTTTTCCGAAGAATTTAGAGAGATCTCAAAATATCTAAGATCTATTCTTAAGAGAATATCGATTATTTATAATTCTCTTCTCAATTATGAAATTATCCTATTCATAAACGCTTTTATTTCCTCGAATAAAAAATATATATTTATCATATATATACATATTATTAATTTCAAATATTTTTTCAATATTCATTAGAATTATTTATGGCATTTTCCTATCTACGAAATTAATATGAATATTTCTCAATAATACGACGTAATCTTTTGCGATCATTTCGATTCCCCTTTAAAATCCTAGAAGCTCCCGGGAATGAAAAATATTTCAGAGATTTTACATTCTTTCGGAGAAGCTACAAGCTCGAAAATCTCCGAGATTTTTCAGCGCGGGTCAAACCCTGATCTCCGAAGCGATCTTCTACGTAATTTCCTTCTACTTGGCCGTCTGCGCGGCTACTTGAGCGAATTCATAGAGAATTTATATTTGATCGTAACCGTCTACCAAGAATTATGAATACCCCCCAAACCGTTACGCAAATAATCCAAGAGAGAATAATGAGGCGTCAAAATCAAATCGAAGGCGGAAAGACCGAGCCGGAGGCTGAAAGATCTATTCGCGTGACCAAAAATCTCCCCAACCCAATCTCATTCATCAGATTTCTATTATCCGTATTCTTAATTGAATATTGGCCGTTGCTATAGATAGCGGATGGCAGCGAGTCACGTCGAGTATAATTTATGATCGAAAATTATCATAATATGAATATTATAGATCAGGAAAATGATACAATGAATCATCAATCTAATAGTTATATAGTATTGCTACTTTTTCTTCGAAGAAATGTTAGATGAATAAAATGGGGTCGTTGATAATATCGTAAAGATAGTATGCGAAGATATCATATCCTTGAAAAATAGAATCGAGATGCGCGTAATACAACCTTATCATAGGTATATATTCCCGTTCGCATCGTTCGCATGCCAGGAACAATTTTCATAGAAATGACATCCAAGTCCCCGTTGCTCTGGTTTCACTTACCCTGCAGCTCTGTTTGGCTGCGCATGAGCGTCCCACACTTGAAAATTCAGACCTTCTGGCATAGCGCTGATCCGCCGGCACCGCCACAACAACCATCCTGCCCGAGCTCCTTGCACGAACCAATCTTGGTGACTGAATCAGGGTCGCAACATTCCCCATCAACCTCAGTACCTGGACAAACGCACTTGGCCGAACAACTAGGGGAGGGGCTGGGGGAGGGGCTGGGAGGGGGGCTGGGGGAGGGGCTGGGGGAGGGGCTGGGAGAAGGATGGCCGCACTGGGTGCTGGGGTCCTCGATGCACTGATAAGAGATGGAGCTCTTGAGATCTTTCAGTTGCCAGACAGACATGCCTGCCATACCATATTTCTGAATAATGGCCTTCAACCAGTTGACCATATAGGCTTCCAGCCCATTAGTGGTCACTGCCAAAATAAGTTTGCTAGCGGGAATGCCAGCATGGAGCCATTCATTGATGACCTTCCACGTCGCGCCAGAGAAGGGATCATCTACCGGTATACTCCAACCATCTGACATGCTTCCGCCGTGGATCATGATGGCAAAGTAATCAAAAGTATCTTTATAAACTGCTGCAGTCTTCCTGTCATCATCTCCTGTGAGGCAGGTTGCTTGGCATTTTATATCGTGGCCGTAGGTCGTTCGGAGATCGTTGCAAAGGCCGGCAGCCTCTTTGTACTTCATTTGCATAATGCCTTCCATGTCAAAGTCAATGTTGCTAGCATCGGCCTTGCCCATCCAATCATGCAGCGTGGATGCAGGTGGAATAGCCTGCCCTGGCCCCACTCCGTCACCACCAAGACACACATAGTTGTTGGAGGCAAGGCCAGTCGCAGGGGGGGGCACTTCGCTCACGTCCTTGGCAAACGCCCCTGTGTGTTGCTCCCAGCCAGCAGGAATGTCGGAGCATTTTGTGAGCCATTCAAATGAACAATACCCCTGCAGAACGTACGGAAAGCGCCTCTTCGCCCTGAGGGATGTGCATTACAATCAGCTTTACCCCTGAGATCCCCTCGACCGTTTGATCCAAACCTGAAGACACATGGCCAGGCTTGTAACAGTTTACCAGACGCGTTGTCGTTCGAGCCTTTAGACCTGTCTCTTACAAGTTCAATACAAAATCCGTTTTAAAATCACAAGCCCCGCTGGCCTGCCTCCTTTCATCCGATGCGTTGGTGCCGTGCCTCTCCGCTGAGGCTGCGAATTGCAGCAAACGGACTTCCTCCTAGGATTTAGGCTTCAAGATTCCATTTTCTTTTCCATTCTCTATACAACCCCCAATATACTATAGTAGTTTCCATTCTATTTCCATTATCCCTATATAACCCAAATATGGCCCCCAAAATATACCCTGCAATCCCTATATAAGATTCCGGAGGGTTGAAGCATACAGGATGACCATGTCACATACTGCAATCCTAGCCGACGCAGACCCAGAACTGCTGTCTTGTAACCAAGCAAGAACACGCCAAGGATCTATTGCAACATGTTCCAAGCTTATATAGCTTATGGGGGTATAGATCACATCCCTGTGGGCCGTTGGGCGTTGGGGAGTTTGGAGCTGATCACGAACGGGACCCGTTTCTCTCACTGCGTCCTGATCGCAAGAGGCGTTTGACGCAAAGCAGACACGGATGAAGGCCAAGGGCAAGGGCAGCCACCTGAAGGGATCACGTCATAGCTTGATGTTTTAATCTTGTGTGGAATCCGTGCTTTGGGAAGCCTGAACACAAACTCAAAAAGGAAATTCGACTGGAACTCTAAGTCACAATGCAAAGAATGACTAACCATACTGGAGTTGTGTCGACCATCCAGCTACACGCAAAGGTTTTACTATGGATGCCAAAATTCGGAAATGCCCGCATGAGCAGCGATTGCAGGGGGATTGTTCTCTGCGTTATTTCGACACTTTGGTCGCCAGAACCCACAGCAGCTTCCGCACAAACAGCAAGCAACTGACCGTGTTTAGGGTGTAGGGTTTAGGGTTGTGACAACCGCGAATTGTAACTCTCCAGCAGCCCCACGACAAACAACCTGAAACCAAGTTCCAGGCCGAAATGCAGAGCAATCAAGCACAACCAAGCTTTGCCATACCAATCTCATGAGATCCATTTAATCCAGTGACAATGTGCAAAATGTACAGAGAATATTTCAATCCACATCAGAGACAAAAGCCGGCCGGCAGCCATTCGTGAAGCATGTATGTTACAAGTCTGCAAAGTATGCGAATCTCACTCAAAACAGCAAACACAATGAATCACCGGAAACGTCGCGGTCGAAATCCTCTACGTACAAGTCACAAACTCCATCACTTCCGCAACTAAACATGCTGTTTGTGACTGTAGTTGACATGACTCACCATGCGAAACTGTAGCATGAGCTCATTCTCTCCTTTCAGCAGCGAAGCGAAAGAGCTTAAAGTGCGCACGATGTACAGTCAGCACGATTCTAGGCCGGAAACGCGACATTCCTAGATTCACATGGCCTGCAATTATTTAGCTGGCAGCGCTCAAGCACGCCTCCGCCAAGTAAATCCAAGAAACACACTTGTGTCCTTGTAAGCTTCAACCAAGCTTATGTGAAATGTTAACCAAAGAGCAAGTGCATCAACAGTTTTCCACTCATCGCACATAAGCAACATAAAGAATGGGTCGAGCATGTTCCATACAGAAACCGCATGAACAAACTCCGCAAACACCGCATAGTTGACAAAACTGATCCAGGGTTTACGATTTCCGGTGTAAAGGCAGGGTCCTCTAACCCAACAACCCGCTCCCACTTGTCATTGAACCTCTTCAACATAAGGGGGATCGGATTGTTGGAGCTAACTCCCAGCTTGAAGACGTTTATGGGTTCAGGGTTTGTGAGGGGTATAAGGTTTAGATGAGCTACAGTCTAAACTCCTCGTATCCCCTTAAAAGCCCCTATAATGCTTGCCTATAACCCCCTTATTGAAGGAGTTCAAACCCTAAAGCCTAACAGACTATACCCTAAACCATAAGCCCTTTTAGACTATACCCTAAACCTACATAGCTCAAGATGGGATTCTTGGAGCTCAGTTCCAACTTAAAGGCTCAGGTGGCATGGAGCTTGGGCCGGCTGTTTGGGCCTGCAGAACTGGCCCCTTTCGCATAGTTCAAGCCTTCAGGGTGCAGGGTTTATTGCCATTATTTGCGGTTTGGGCTTGTCATTTTGGTTGTAGATTTTAAAATTAAGGAAATTTGGGGACCCCAAATAATGGTAAGTTTATATGGGCTTGAAGGTTTAGGGTTTCAGGGCTTAGGGACATGTTTTTTGGAGGAAACTGTCCGTAGAAGCTAGCATTTGGGGGGAGGTGATGTCCCCTGACTGTTGCCCACTTCAGACGGGCTAGGGTTTAGGGTTGACGGGTTCTTGCCGTTCTCCACCTTAGGTGCTTTGGCGGCCGATCAAATAGGTCCGGCTGTTCATGGGAGAGATGCCCCATTGGGGCAATATCAGGGTCATATTAGGGTTATATGGGGATAATGGAAAATAAAATGGAAACTGCCATACAGGCTTAAGGTTTTAAGGATAATCTCGTAAATTTCTGCTTTCATGCTGCCTGTCAGATCCACCAAATCCATGAGATTTGAGAACCAGAGCTGGGCCTAAACATGCCCAGAAAGCCCAATATCCCCTACGGAAAGACTATACCCTAAATGATACTCGGATCCTAACAGTATCATTCAAGGTACATTCCTTCATTAAGGGATTTTTGGGCTTTCTGGGTGATCCTCATGACCTGATGCCCTCAGCCCATCTTCCTATTCGCTTCTTTAGGATCTCTCCGGCCCTGAAGCACTCATCCGGGTTTGGTGGTCTAGGACCTAGGATGTAGGGTTCCCATTCTTCTCATTTGGTAATTTCGCTAAATAAGGGTGACCCCAATCTAGAGAACAAAGCACTATGGCACTTACTACCGGACCCCCAAAACAGTACCCCAGATCTTTGGAAACCCCTATTTAGCTTCGCTGTCTATCTCCGTAAGCAGGACGGCTTTTTATCGACAAACCTGATTGGCGCGAGCTCGTCTCAAATTTCTTCGTCGAAGCCACTCATGGATGGACCGAAATTCTCCTTTCGCGGGCTTATGAGTGATTGGCGGGGTAAGGGATCGGATTACCACCCTTAAAACCCTAATACTTAATGGAATACCCAGAAAGCCCAATGTCTCTTGATCAGGGCATCGGAATATCCTTTAAATCATATTAAGGATCCTAGTATCAGTTAGGATATGTTCCCTAAATCAAGGATATCGGGCTTTCTGCGTAGCTTCAATTTGCTATCTGCTTTCTCATCCCTGCATTCCTTACTAACCACCCGTAGGAGATAAAAGGTTGGACAGAGGCCGCCCAAAACCATATAACCTAAACTTTAAACTCCCCAACTTCAAAGGAAGCTCTCGCTCCTTAATAGGGTGCTGGATTCAGAGAGTTGCTTTGGGTTTAGGATTTGGCGTTTAGGGAGTTTAGGGTCTAGGTTACCCCGCCCGACCCCCCACACCACAATAACAATACCCTGAAGTACACGCCGTGAAGGGGAATTCCGCAAGGTCAACCCCCGAACCCCCTAAACCATGAACCCCTAAACCCCGAACCCCTAAACCCCTAAATCCTGAACCCCTAAATACTAAACCCCTAAACTGTAAACCCTAAACCCCTTCCTAAACCCAAAAACCAGGGAGTCGAGTCATGGTTTGCATGGAAATACCGTTGCAGTATCCTCCCTAATAATACAGGGGATCAGGGTTGAGGGCCCGATATAGGGGGTTTCCCAAAATTAAGAGGGTGCATAGGGGTTACATAGGGTTTAAGGCTTCCATAGGGATATTTTTTGGGAATCCCTATGATAAGGATTGAAATGGTTTAGGCCTCTACATTGGGCTTTCTCTATTCTAGAATTCTACCATATAGACCTGAATATATATATCTATATATACATATATATGGACTTCTCAAGGGGCCCCTACTTGAAGGATCGTGCTGTT